ACCCTCCCCCAACAAAATCCTCAAAAACTATAGCAAATCGAGTGTCCAGCAATATATAGAAAGATTAATATAATAAAATGGGGTTTACTGTAGGAATGCAATACTGGCTCAATATTTTATCATCAATAAATATTAACATTGAAAACACACGATCATATCAATCAATACAGAAAAAGCATTTGGCGAAATTCAATATGCATACATGATAAAACAAACTATCAGCAAAGTAAAAACAGAAGGAAACTTCCTCAACCTGATAAATAGCATCTACAAAAAACCTACAACTACTATCAAACTTACTGTTTAAAGACTGAATGCTTTCCCACTAACATCAGGAAAAACACAAGGATGTCTATTCTCACCACTTCTATTCAGCATTGTACTCAGAGTTTTAGCCAGTGCAATAATACAAGAAAAAAAAACAAACAAACCAAATCCAGATTGGAAAGAAAGAATTAAGGCTGTTTTTATTTACAGAAAAAATAATCATCTAAGTAAAAAACCTAATGGGAAATACAAAAAAACTACTATTACTAATAGGTGATAACAGAAAGATTGTAGATAAGATCAACATATAAAAATCAATTGTATTTCTGTATACTGTAATGAAAAATTGGAAATTAAAATGTAATAAAACATTACCATTTACCAACAGATTAAAAATATGAATGCTAGAGGGATAACTTCAACAAAAGATGTCAAAGACCTGCACTCCCACATCACAAGGTACAAAGTCAAAATAAAAATAGTGTTTTTAAAGACTAGCCATGTACAATTATAAATCAAAAATTTTAAAAATTGACAATAACTCACTCCCCAAATAAGAAAAACTTAGGTATAAATCTAACTAAACATTCGCAGGTTCTGAATGCTAGAAACTTCAAAATATTAATGAAAGAAATCAAAGGCCTAAATAAAGGGAAAGGCATACCATGTTCATGTATTAAAACAGTCAACATAGTAGATCTCAATTCTCTCCAAGTTGATCTACAGATTTAACAAAATTCAAATCAAAATCCCAACAAGATTTTTTGTAAATATAAACAGCTGACTCTAATTTTTATATGGAAAATCAAAGAAACAAGAATAGCTAAAACAATTTTGGGGAAAAAAGACAATAAAGTTAGAGGATTCACGGAACCCTACTTTTTGACTTACTCTACAGTACAATAAATAAGAAAAAGGGGTACTGACAAACGGATAGACATAAAGATGAACTTAACAGAAAAGAGTCCAGAAATAGACCCACACATATACAGTCTATTTTTGACAAAGCTGAAAAGAATTTCAATCAATAAAGGACAATGATTTCAACAAATGATGCTAGAACAACTGAGCATCTCTATACAAAATAGTGAACCTCAACTTAAACTTTGCACCTTATTTAAAAATTTAATTCAAAATGAATCATTATTCTCAGTGTAAAACTGAAAACGATGCAACTTTTAGAAGAAACCATAGGAGAAAATCTTCATAACCTAGGGTGAGGCAGAGTTTTTAGATATGACACCAAAAGCAAGATCCATTAAATTTTTTTTGAGAATTGGATTTCATTAAATTTTTGCTCTACAGGAAAAAAATTGTTAAGAAAATAAAAAGACAAGCTACAGACTGGAAGAAAATATTTACAAATCACATGTCCAGTGAAGGACTTGTATCCAAAATATACAAAGAACTCTCAAAACTCAATTGGAAGAAAATAACCCAATTAAAAAATAAGCCAGAGATTTGAATAGATGCTTAACTAAAGAATATACACAAATGGAAAATAAAAATATGAAAAATATTCAGCATCATTACAAAAAGGCAAATTAAAACCACAATATGATATAACTACACATCTATTTGAAGGACGAAAATATAAAATATTAACAACACCAGGTGCTTGCTTTCAAGGAAGCGCAGCAAGTGGAACTCTCATACATTGCTACTTGGAATAAAAAATGGTACAGCCATTCTGGAAAACAATTTGACAGTTTCTTATATAGTTAAATATATATTTACCATACGATCCAGCAATCCCATTCCTCAGTATTTACCTCAGAGAAATGAAAACTTAGGTTCACACAAAAATATGTACGTGAATGTTTGTAACAGCTCTATTCACAATTGCCAAAACCTGGAACAACCCACCTGTCCAACAAATGAATGGATAAACTGTGGTTTATTCATACAATGGAATACTACTGAGAAACAAAAAAGAATAAACTATAGATATATGCAAGAACTTGGAAGAATCTCACACAAAATTTTGCTAAGTAAAAGAAGCCAGTCTCAAAAGGATACATACTGTATGATTCTATTTTTATAACACTATGTTGTTATTATAACATTATCAAAAAAGACAAAACTAAAGTAAAGGAGAACAGATCAATGGCTTTCAGGGATAAGGGAGGGATAAAGGCATGATTATAAAGGTGCAAGTATACAGCACAAGGTAGTTTTGGGGGTGATGGAACTATTCTGTATCCTCATTGTGGAGGTCATTACATGAATTACACTCATGTTTAAATCACAGAGCTGTATGCAGAGAATTAAGTCAACTTTACCACATGACAATTAAAAATATAAATTAAAAAAGGACTGTGATGAGTGAAAAAAAGGTTTCCTGGTTAAATGCAGCTCAGTACTATGTCTTTCCCCAATGTAGATGCTCAATTAACATTTGCTGAATAAAAACACTGGAAACTGGATAGTAGTTTCTGCTTCAATATCAGCCTCATTTACATCTCTAAGTTTCAAAAATTTAAGTTACTTTTTGTAGGCTCTTTAACACTTTCTTTCATGGTAAATGTCACTGAAAGATGCCCTGATTACACAAAAATTTATTTAAAATGTCAGGTGAAAGTTGGGAATCCAAATTTCCCAACCAATTATTTTAAACTTCTTAAAAATGATCATTAATAATAGTAACTCTTACTTTATATTTTGTATGCTTATCTTCCTCATTTAAAAAAGGGTAGGAACTGTATCAAAGTCATTACCCAAAGGTATGGTATCAAGAAACAGGCACTTGATAAATGCTTATAGAATTAACCTTTATTAAACACACAATAAGCTGCATAACTCTGCCATTAATTTATTTCATATATTAACTTTTTCTAGGTTTTGTCTTCTTGCTTGAATTAGCAAGACTAACTTCTAAAAATTATTCTTCTTTCTGGCTCTCACCATGGTGTGTACTCATATCACTAACTCACCACATTTCTGTGCTGCTCTACTTTTTTTTAAAGTTTTACTTTTTTTATTGTATATGTTTATGAAGTACAGTTTGTTGTTTAAAAATATATTGCTCTATGCTTTAACATTTTCTTTGCTAGGGACATTGTACATTTATTTGGCTGTAGATCCTGGGCAACCAATAAAACCTGTTAGGATCCTGCCACACCCCTACACTGATCTGTGACAACAGGTCGAAGATGCATTAATTATGATCAGTTAGCTAAGCAGATTGGTCAAATCACATGTGTGAATGAATACAAATAATTTCTTTTATTAAAAAAGCAACAACCACCACCTTAAATTTGCTCTTCCTTTGCTTTAAACTGTGTAAAATAGAGTATTCCTATGCTGTAAAATAATTAATAATATAGCTGAGGTTTTCAGAAGTACCTAGCTCAAGGATTAAACACATTTTTAAAATTTCAAAGATGTTACTCATATTTGCATAAATTTACAGTACAGAGAAAGTATAACTTTCACACTTCTTTTAAATTTATATTTGGTAGAGAATTATTTTAGAGTCCTCCACATTACATTAATTGTTTTTAAAGTATTCTTTCTGAATATTCACTTAACATATAATCATCTCCAACTTACCTAGGTAGAAGTCAAATTCTCAATAAAAATTTAAAATTTTACAGCTTCAATAAATTAAACTATGAAATATACTATAATGATGCTAAAACATATTCATTTTTCTACATTCTATAATATATACTTTGATGTCACATTACACCATCACTTGCAAATAAACCAAATTGGAATGCTCTTGTTAGCAACCAGGCAAGAATATAATAAAAAATTACTTCTAATTATAATTGTACTGTGTAACTGAAAGATGAAAAAACCACGAATATGATTGAAACACTCAATGCAGTAATTTTATTTTATCAAGTCTACAACTATCATCATAAGCCATAATGAGTTTGCTTATTTTTAAAAGAATAAACTATCATATGAAGTTGTAGCTTTCTATATTTTAGTTCTGAGCACACTGTAATATTCAACACACTGATTAGTAAGGACTACTGCCTATTATGAATAAGTACATAATAAAGGCAATTTGCAAAAAAAGTTTATACAGACATCTATCAGTCTCAAACTTCCAAATTTTCATAAGTGCCTCATCCATTGGCTTTAATGGGTTTCCATAGCATCTACCATTTACTGTTCAGTCCCTTCACACATGCTACCCTGGAGCATAGAAGTGCTCAGGGCACAGAAGTAGTTCAAATCATAACGAAGCATGCTTTCCTACAAAATTAAAGGCTAAATTATCCTTTAGGTAGTTTTCACAATTTAGCGCAATTAATCACGTCTGGATCATGTGGGCCCCAAATTAAGTAAGACTCCTTGGAAATATCCGTTTAAGTTAAATATGATGAAAGGTGAATTGCTACCTGACTGGATTTACTTAAACATTTTTTTTTCACCTTAACCTGAAATAAAATCACTGCAAAACAATTCTAACATGCAAAAAACTTAAAATGAATGTGACAAACGACTGAGTATCATGAGATTGATATTCCTCTAAAATGTTAGCAGAATTAAGAAAAACTGCACAAAAGAGGCTTTTCTGAAACATATGTGAAACATACAGTTATACATATCAATTATAATAGGACTGCATGATTATTAAGTGAACCTAGAGAGAGAGATCATTTCAAAAATTATGAAAACCAAGTTTTTGTAATACAGGTATTCAAAGTTAGCTCTACTCCCCAAACTCCAATATTTATAATATGGAATTTTTAGTAAACTCTTTTTTAAAAAGTTACCTGTTTCTGTAACCATCTTTCATGCCTTCGTTGTTTCCTTCTTAGATTCTTCAGTTTGTTCCTTTCTCTTTTATTGAGCCTCTGATTAATGGTGCCCAATGAAAAACTGGCTGAGTTCAGGAATTCCAGAGTGGAAAGGTGGTCTTCTTGGTCTGAGGCCTCCAGCATGCTTCTGGTAGCTGAGGGCAGGTCCATCAGGAAAGTCAGGTTGTCAGTATTAGCATGGTCAGAGTACCCTGAAGAAGCTTCCAGACCACATTGAAATTCTCTTCCTCTTTGTGTCTGGGTCTCATGGGGAGCCACTGAAAATCTTTGCAGCAGCATATTAGGATCAAAGCTGGATGGATTTTGACAGGAACAGCTATTTTTACTAGATTGTAAAGGCAAGCCTGAAAGGTCAATAGGCTGTGTTTCATTTAGCCTGGAATAGGCAGTAGTCTTACTATGTATTTCATATAAAGTGGGTAATAAAGTTAGTTTCTCACTGATGTTCAGATCCAAACTATGTGATTTTCTATGAAACGCTCTTGCAGCATATCTGCCAGTTGCACGCTGGGGAACAAAAAGCTGGTATTTAGGATCTGATGCTTTGAAGAGCAGTTTTTTATTCTTCATCTCAAAATATGTTGATCGCACCTCTAGGCAGAGTGCTTCTGTTAATCTCCCAGGGCCATTATTGATTTGGGCCATGGTTAAAAGCCTGTGATTTCTGTTTTTGGAGCTACCACCTGTGAGCAGAGTTTCCTTGTCACTACTTGACTGAATTCTAGGATGTGACAAGTATTTCAGCGATGGTCTCATTAGTCTGCCTGCCTGTGTTGGCTGATAATCGGTTCGGCTCTTGGAGAGATGTACAGCTGCAAGCTGGCCACAGGAACATTTTGGAGTGCTGACAAAATCAAAGCCCCCTAAACGGGCCCCACAGAAAGGGCAATTCAGTTTTCCAACTGTCCACTGGGCCTACAGGTAATAAAGGAAAATAAAGACAATGCCTTCATTGTAAAATAACCGAAGAGAATTAAGCTCAAATAAAAAGAAAAGAAAAGAAAAATCAAGCTGATCACATGAAAGTTTTCTATGCCACAGAAAAAGCTAGTTTTCTGTTTTCTGATTAGTAGACAAAATAGCAAATGGAAACAAGCCTTCCAATAAATAGAGATAAGCAGCTCCAAAGTTCTGGAATGATAACATATTGCAAATCATGCCCATCCAAACAATACTCCTAAGAATTCTAAAAGATAATCCCTTAAACAATAGGTTGAATATGGATAGAGTGTGAACTAAGGAAAAGAAAAATACACCCTGGAACCAGGAAGGAAATCAGTCTACAGAGCTTAATTTGCAAGTAAAATTTCACAGAAAAGTGTCTGTTTTGATACACTTCTTGCATACCAAGCACTGTAGAAGGGAACTTTTACTCAACCAACAGAATAAAGCTCTTCCTGGCCTTTTACATACAAAAGATATTGAATGCATACATCAATTAGTGCATTTTCTATACTCAGATTAGAAAACTAATAATGAACTGGCTTAAAATTATCTTTTCAACAAAGACGGTAGACCATCTGTGGTGTCCTAATATATCTTTTAAAGTTCAGGAAACTTACAAGCAGTGCACTGGCATTTTCCCAGGAAATCATCAAATGTGAGACTAGATGTAAGGGATATCTATCAAACATTAATTTTTTTAACAAAAATAGTAAGCTACTCAGTGGAGAAATGTGATTACAGTTTTCCCAAAATCATATTACTTATATGTTTCTAAGCCAGGTGTTTTGAATTGTGGGAAATAACTATACCATACTATTAACAAGGTAAATTCTTGATCTTATGTTTCATTAAGGATCCTTTAAGGTGTAGTATTTTCATTTTGATAATACCAATAAGAGTCACTAATTATCCAGTTTATTTTATATGTGGATGTATGTGTGTGTGTATCATATGAATGATAAATACAGGATATTTCATTCACTCAACAGGCACCATTCTGTTTAGGTGCTGAAAACATAGGAAAGAACAAAATATAAAAATCCCTAACTTCACGGAGCTTATATTCTAGTGGATGAGCTAAGAAATCAACAAGATAAGCTATATTTGTGTGTGTGTATAATGTATATATTTATATATGTCATATACACTTATGTATATTCATAAGTAATATATATTATTTATAGTGTGTGTAGCTGTAAAATATAGATATGTATATAAAGCAAATAAGGGAGAAAGACAGTGAGAAGAGGGGTATTTGGGGGAGGGCACTTGATAAGCAATGCATCCAAGAAAAATAGCTCTAAAATGTAGACAAAAACATTCTGATGGTAGAATATTACTAATTTTACTCAGAAACTAAGAAACTTACTTTTTGTATTAGGCAGTTTATCCATTCTGGAAGGGCTTCTATATTCATGTGCCACACATGGCAAATATTTTGAGCATCAATTGAATCATGTCTATCCTGTTATATAAAAATGAATATTAGTAATTACCAGCTCAGAATTTATTTCACAAAATTTATATTTAAGTAAAATTCAAAAATACCAATTCAACTTTAGCTAGAAAGTAAGTACACACTGCCCTCCTTTTCTCTCTCCCATCATTAAAAACAAGCCCACAAAAAGATAAAATTTTTTGAGTGAATAACTACCTGTAATTTAAAAAAACACAAAACACCCTCCATTTCATTAAGTTCATGAAATGAAATTTAAAATGTAACATTAAGTTACTGAATGGACAAATGCAGTGCTTTATTCTTTGTGTGTGTGTGTGAGAGAGAGATAATATAGTGCCATTCACGGCAACTTTCCTCAGTCTTCAGTCTCTGATTCTATCTGGATTCTACTAATGACAGAATAAAGAAGTTGCTATATTCTCTATCAAGATGCTTGATAAGTGTGCAGGATGATGGGAAGAGGAACGATAGTGTTCAGAACACACTCCCCCCAATATGCCACCTTAACATACTGAAAAATGGCAGAAGCAGGAAGGTCTCTCCAACCCTTCCCCTGTCCTTTTCCCCTGAAGTTGGTCAAAAGCCTCGGATTTTCTGACCTCCCTTGAAGCATGTCATTAGACTCTCATGTGAGAGGGGCCCCCTTTCTACCTGGAAGAAAGAGCATCCTTATCTCTAAAGAAGGGTCACAGAGAAGAATCAGAACAAACAGGCCTTGCTAAGTTTCCCCCAGTTTATTATCATGCAATAACACCCCCTTCGCCCTATCACACTTCTCTAAAATTGTCCCTTCATTAAACCTAGCATAAAAATACACAGATTTAACCATTTTTTTTAGGTCTTCATCTCCTAATGAAGGTTCCTATGTCACATAAAACTTATATTCAATAAATGTGTATGCTTTTCTCTTGTTAATATCACTTCCATTATAGGGGTCTCAGCCATGAACCTAGAAGAGGTAGAGAAAAAGATATTCTCCCTCCCCTACAGGAACAATTGTATAGGCAGCTGAAAAAGCCATCACCAAACTTCAGCTGTGTAAGACCAACAAAATTTTAGAAAAAGAGATCTTAGGCTTTCTAAAGTAGATTTGTAGAAATAAATGTTATATATAATTGAGATAGTACAGTTTTCCAACATGTCAGAAAAATGAAGGGTAGACCAAGATGAAGATAAGTGGCTCTTTACTACGTATGTGGTCTTAGACAAGTTAATTTACCTCTCTGGGTCTGTTTCTTTACCTGTAAAATACTGCTTGATAATTGCTAACATCCTTTCTGGGTCTACAAAATTTCACTCTATAAAATGACAGTGATATGGTTTGAAGGTATCCCCCAAAAGTTCATGTGTTAGAAACTTGGTGGCCATTGTAGCCGTGGTAAGAGGTGGGGCTTCTGGGACACAACTGGGTCATAAGGGCTGTGTCCTCATAAATGGATTAATGCTGTTATCACAGAGTTTGGTCCCCTTTTCCTCTCAGTGTCATGTACTCACTTCTGCCTTCCACACTTCCACTATGAGATGACCCTCAGCAGATGCTGGTGCCATGCTCTTGAACTTCCACCATTCCCTTGAACTTCCAGGCCTTCAGAATCATGAGCTGAATAAACTTCTTTATATATATAAAATAATCCAGTCTTTATTTCTAGTCTGTCTATTCTATTCTATTATACTTTATTATAGCAGTAGAAAATGGATTAAGACAGAAAAATGGTACCAAAAAGTGGGGTGGTTGTTGTAACTGATACCTGAAAACACGGAAACAGCTCTAGAACTGGGTAATGGGTAAAGGCTGGAATAGTTTTGAGGAGCAGGCTAGAAAAGCCTGTATTGCCATGAATGGAACATTAAGGGCAATTTTGTTGAGAGCTCAGAAGAAGACCCCAGAGCTAGGGAAAGTCTGAATCTTCTTAGAGCTTATTTGTGCGGTTGTGAACAGAATGGTTGGTAGAAATATGGACAGTACAGGCCATTCTCATAAAATCTCAGAGAGAAGAACAGATATTGTAAACTGAAGTAAAGGCCATCCTTGTTATCAATTAGCAAAGACCTGGGCTGAATTGTGTCCATACTGGAGGGTCTTGTGGAATGCAGAACGTAAGAGCAAATGAACTAGGATATCTGGCAGAAAAAATATCTAAGCAGCAAAGTCTTAAGGCTGTTGTGTGGTTACTCTTGAGTGCGTACAGTGAGTTGGAAAAGAAATGACTTAAAAATGGAATTTATAATCAAAAGAGAAGCAGAGTGGAAAGATTTGAAAAAATCTCAGCCTGGCTGTGTAAAGAGTAAAAAAAAGCATGTTCAGGAGAGGAACCCAAGGGTGTGGATCAGTAACCTTTTGCTAAGGAGATTAGCACTGATAGAAGTGATCATCAAGACAATGGGAGAAAGACCCTGAAGGTATTTCAGAGATCTTTGACACTGCCCCTCATACCACAGGCCCAGGGCTCTAGGAAGGCAAAATAGTTTCAGGGGAAGGCGCAGGGAACCCTCCAGGGTCTTGCCAACCAGAGCCACCTTGGATTTCTACTCCCTGAGTTCTGGCATAGCACATATCAGCCACCCCAGCCATAGCTCAAGCAGAATCAGGTACAGCTCAACTCACTGCTCTAGAAGGTACAAGCCATCAGCCTTGGCAAGATTCACATGGGGCTAATTCTGTAATCATGCCGAATGCAAGAGCTGTGTGAGTATGGCTAACTCCACCTAGATTTCAAAGAATGTCACAGACAGCCAAGGGGCTCAGGCAGAAACCGGCCATGGGGGCAGAGCTGCCACAGAAAGTCCCCACTAAAGCAATGCAAAATGGAGTTGTGGAAGTGGGAACACTCCCAAGACCACAGAACTACAGAGCTACAATCATGCAATGCTAGCCTATGAGACATGCGGGCATGAGACTTGAACTGAGAGTGCTGAATTGTGGGCTAAGCCCAGCAAATGCATGAGGGCAGGGCTGCCCAAGGCCTTGGGGGCCAACCCTTGCACCAGTATACCCAGATGGTGAGACAGGGAGTGAAAGGAAATTATTTTCCAGCTTTAAGACTTAATGTTGTTTTCTCTGTTTGGCTTCTAACTTACCTGGAGCCTGTTACTCCTTTCTTTCGCCTATATTTCCCCTTTGGAATGGGAATGTCTATCCTATGCCTGTCCCAACACTATAATTTGGCAGTAGATAAATTATTTTCACTTCATAGGCTCATAGCTGGAGGAATTTGCCTTGAGACAGTCATGCCTTGAATCTCACCCATACCTCGTTTAGATGAGATGCGACTTTACAGTTTGAACATTTGAGTTGATGCTGAAATGAGTTAAGAATTTTGGAAATATTAGGATGAATGAATGAATTTTGCATTTGAGAAGAACATGAATTTTGGAGGCCAGGGGCAGAATGCTATGATTTAAATATTTCCCCCAAAGTTCATGTGTTGGAAACTTGGTTGCCATTGTGGCAGTGTTAAGAGGTGGCGCTTTTGGGAGGTGACTGAGTCATGAGGGCTCTGCCCTCATGAATGGATTAATCCTGTTATTGCAAGAGAGGGTTTAGCCCCCTTTTCCTCTCTGTCTTGTGTGCTTATTTCCACCTTCTGCCCTTCAGCCATGGAAAGACTCTTGCCAGATGATAGCACCAGGCCCTTGGACTTCCTAACCTCCAGAACTGTGAGCCAAATAAACTTTTTATCTTTATAAATTACCCAGTCTGTGGTATTCTGTTACAGCAGCAGAAAATGGACCAAGACAGGATAGGATTGGTTGAGAGAAAAAGGGAAAGAGTAAGGCTATTATCCACATACTGCTTCTCAGGATCAGATTTTACATTGAAGCAGATCCACAAATTACCAAAGTGCGATGCTTTCTCTCTTGGATTTACTAAGCAGTTGCACTAGTAGTTACTAAAATCAGGTTAACAAAATAGCAAACAAATAAATTTCTAAACACATCCTGTAAGTCTGTATTCAAAGTGATATAAAAGGAGCAGGGTTGAATCTCTTTAAGAACATTCCACTGAATAATCTACCTTAGGTTGTATCTTAGAGCAGAGACTACCCAGAATTTCTAGGCTTAATTTCCCAAGCCAGTCCATGCTGGACCTTACACCATTTTTCTCTTCCATCATTAGATCTTAAGATACTAAAAGGTGACCAGATGTAGACAAAAAGTTTCTGTGTGATTTATTTGTATATTGGAAGGATACATAAAGAAGCCATCTCAATCTAATTTTCTTCAGGCAAAAAACCAAAAAAAAAAAAAAAACAATGTAAATTAGAAAGGGAAAGGGATTTGAGCTATTGTTATATGCTGGACAACATTTCATTATTTTGTAACACCACATAACAGTAGTCCATATACTATAAATGAAAACCAGTGCTAATCCAAATTCAATATTATAATGATAAAAAAAACTCTCAAAAATATTTTGAAATTTTTACAGTTCTAATGTTTTAAAGATCCTACAACACATGTGGAAATATTCAATGGCAAATAGAAAGTCTTGGGAGGGTTTTTAGTTGGCCAAAGAGAAACTTTAATCTTATGCATAATGCCTGAACTCCAATTCAGGGTAACAAAATGCAACTTTTCTAACTTTCAATACTGACAACAATGAGAGGGAGCCAGGCAAGTGCATGGCAACATGAAAAGAATATTATTGAATGCAGGCAAAGTTAAGAAAAGGAAATGCTAGTATTAGTCTCTAGCTCTAGAGTGTTAAATCACTTTAACACTCCCTAATATGTCTACTCACAAGAGTAACAAACAAATACACAACAGTTTATTTTATTCTATTTTCTGATACAATAACCTAGGGAAAATTAAGGCAGAGAAGGATATAATTATTGCTTTCAAGATAGTATAGTGAGTACATATTCCAATCATTCTTCCTTTGAAACCACAGAACCTATAGAAAAGACTTAAAAAAAAAAAAAGTAGCTGAATTAGAAAGTATAGATGGGGAACTTTCATGGACCAGAAATTGTGAGGACTCTTTGAGAGATCAATGAGGGAAAAAA